CCCCCTCTGCAAGGGGACCTCCAGTGGTCTACAAGTGGGCGTTTTTAGCATCTTATGGTGGCATAGTGGTTAGGTGTTGGACTGCCATCCACAAGGCCAACCGTTTGAAATTGCTAGCCACGCTGGGAGAAGAAAGGTGAGGCTTTCTACTCCTCTGAAGAGTAGAAATCCACAGCGGCAATTCTAACTTGTCCTATAGGGTCTCTATGAGTCAGCCTCGACCCGTTGGCAGTGAGTTTTTTCCATTCTAAGTGGTGGACCACATCCAGTGTTAATTTGTTGATACTGTCTTTCTCAGATGTCATGATTCCAACCCACAAAGACAGAGGGAATTAAGGATGCTGATAATAAAAGTCAGTAATGATGAATACTTTTAAAAATATACAAAGACGGGTATTTAACTTCTGTCAGAACTGACAACAGCCATTAGAAAGGAACCCGGACATAAGATGTGGACTACCTCTTATTTAAAATCACCCTCTTCTTCCCTTTGCTGCTATGACTATCAAATTGTGTACAGGGTGCTAAAGCTCAGGAAAAAAGCATTGTAACCATGGAAATCAAAGGTAAATCATAGATTACAAATAAGTTTTATTTTGCATTTGTGTATGTTTATCCCCATGCAGTTAGAATGGCCTGTTTTGGGTAGTGTGAGGAAGTCGCCTTTCTCGCAGATGTCCAGGGAATTTTACGCAGAAAGTGGGAAGTGCTTGATGAAGAGCTAGAGAGATGGATGTGGATTGGCGGAGACCCGAACTGATCCTCTCCTTCCCTTTACGAAGTTTGAGTCTTAGCAAAGGAACCAACGGTGGCACGTTAATTCCGAAATAAAGTGGTATAAAATCTAAGTGCCTAACAAATGGTAGCATTTCCTTTTGGTTTTCAGTTTTATGGGTTGTTTTTCTTTTTTTGAGGGCGGGGGTTATTTTTCGACCAACAGCCTTACATTATTTATTGTTAAACTTGATGTGGAAGCATAAAAACCAAGAAAGAAACCAGGTTATTTACCAATACAAGTTCAACTAATCAGATGGTGGCAAAAGTCTTAATGCAACTCAACATGATGTGAGCCTGGGCAAAGGCGCCCGTGAGTGGCATCCCCCAGGGGCCTCCTGACAGACCCAGCTTAGTTCTTCTCCCATGTCTTCTCTTGGAGTTGTACCTGATCTTATTCCCGGTTTTCATTGGAATCCACTGGGGAATGGGCCGATTCTGCTTCTGTTTCTTGGCCAGGAATCTCTTGATCTGGAAAGTCTTATGAGACGACATGGTGAACTCAGAGCAACACCACACTCAGGGTGGCGGCGAAACAGAGGGAGAAGCGAGTTGTATGTTTTGAAACATTAAGCACATACAAAAATGCATCCTAAGTACAGCCCTTCCCAACTTCTCTGGATTTGTTCTGAGACTTTGAATATGTACATGTGCATGTATTCATGCCTGTATATATATAATATGTCTTAAGGACTTTTTAAAAAATTTGCATAGTTGGTATACAAACACACCACTTACTGATATGCATCCACGGTGAATGTTACCTGCTGCATGAATTGGAACTGCTCTGTTACTTTATTGCCAGAGTTGGATAGGACTTTGCGGGGTGGGGGCGGGCTCTTTTCAATGGCTAGCCGTGTGGGCTGTTTCCAGGGAGCAGTGGTGGGTGAAGGTCTCTGGGTGCACCCTTGCTGGTCTTCTGGCCACGGTTCCACCTGGCAGGGCAGTGACTGGCTCTGACAGCTATTGAATGTGCAGAGTTGCTACTCGGGCGTCATTTCTGTCCCCTTTCTGTACACACGGGCTTTCTTTGCTACTCACCTCCCCCATTTGCTCTCTCCCCCTTTCTGCTGGCTTACTGTTGGATTCTTATTTTCTGTTGTTTATTTATGCAAATTATTTCCTCCAATTCTACTTTTTTATTGATACTTGTACATTTTCAAAACACATCCTCAGCTTAATAGAATCTAAAGTGAATCAATACTTGTTTTCCTGAGCTGTGTAAGGGCCTTAGAAGATTTTAGCTCTGATCCTCCATATTCCATGTTGTTTAGTTTCATCCTTTCTTAAAGCAACTAAACACTTAAGAATTCCAAAGCTCACTGCTTTCTTGAATTCGTCATTGACCGGTAAGCCCTATTCTTCCTTTGAAGTTCCCGTTCTTGTAAACAAGGTCTTCCTCTGTGGGCTAAGCTCTTCATCTCTGAGGAGCATTTTCTTTTTGCCTTTAGATTTGAATAATCAGATAGCAGGGCATGGAATTGTACATTTATGGTTCCTTACTTCAGCACTTTGAAGGTCTAACTCCATTGTCTGCCTGCCTCAATTATCGAGGTCTACTCTCCCAGTTCTATTCCTTTTTAAAGCTCCCACCTCACCCCCACCTCAGGCACTCTTAAAATCTTGTTCCAAACTAAGACATACGAGGTGCCAGGGATGGAGATTTTTCTCTCGGTCAGACCTCCCAGACCTTTCATCTCCAGGCACCATCATCTCCTTGCCTGTGTATGACTTCGTCCCTTCTCTTCCCAGGCTCCTCCTGGAGCTCCTATTAGAGTTGTGTTGGACCATTTAAATCTACCTTTTGTTTGTCTTTTTTTCATATTTTTACAGCTTGATCTCTGTTTTCTTCACTGCATTCTTCTAAATCACTCATACATTCTTCCATTACGTCTAATCAACCCCCCCCCATTTATTGAGTCTTTTCGTTTAAATGACCTTTTTTTCCCCAAAAGGTTCACTTAAAACATTTTTTTCTAATACTATATTTTCTTTCGATAACATGGAAATGTATCTTTTTCATGTTTTTGCCTTTCTATGATGTAGACATAAAACGATATCTAGAACTAACAATTTTTTGCCCTGCCTTTTTGAAGTGTATTCTCTTACAAGCTTGGATACAACTACTTACATGAGGTTATTCATCTAGGACTAATCAAACTAAACCATCAAGTCAATTCTGACCCAGAGTGACCCTATATAAGGTTTCCAAGAATAAATCTTCAAAGCAGCACAGTCTCATCTCTCTCCCATGGAGCGGCTGGTGGATTTGGACTGCTGACCTTTTGGTTACAGCCCAGTAGTCTATATTAATTGTCTTCACCTCCGAAACAAGGCATTCTAAAATTGATTGTGGTGATGATTGTACATCTCCTCTTGAGAAGATTGTACTCCTGAATTGTGTGATGTGGAAGCAGTACCATTAACACTGTAAAAGCAAAACAGTTTTGCCAGGTGTCCTATGCAAAGCACCCTAAACTAGCATTGCTAACATTGTTTCAGAAAGATGTGCCTTCCCCAAACAAAAAGAAAGATTTTTGGAAGAATTTGAACGGAAGATAACTTCCTTTTCCCCCTTATTTTCACTTTTTGTTCTGCGTTGAGGACTGGTCTACAGAGCATATCATCAGTTTCCATTCAGCAGACTGCACACATCTCATGGCACCTGCCCGGGCATCCACTCAGTGCGCCATCACATGTCTGCTTCTCCCTGCTTCTTGCTTTCATTCCTCGTCCGTTTCTAACCCTGGGAACTCTGTCCTTGGGTAAACACTGCCCCTTTGATCTTAAATGATGGATTGCTCTAAAACGGGAGTGCGTTTAGCTGAAGCCCTGACGGGTGACTAAGGGTCATCATCTGGGTGGTCCCACTCGTCTGTCCGGCCAGTAAGCCCGCTCTCGTCTATGATGTTGACTTTCGTTCTACATTTTTCTCACAGTTACCCAGGACCATTGAGTGTATTCCCTGTCAGAGCAGTTGAGTGCTCTGAACACCATCCAGTTCTTCTGCTCTTGGGGTTGTGGAGACTGACATTTATGTGTCTTTTTCTTTCCCTACTTCATCCCTCCTCTTTCGGGCCTAGAGAGCACCTGGGGAAAGGTGGCTGGTTATGAAAAGCTTCCTGGGCACACTGGGGTGGCCAGGGATCCAAGATTCTTTTCTGCTGATCTGCTGAGGGAGTGTTCATACACCTCTAGACAAAGAGGTGTGATAGACCAAAGTTCATTCTAAGGTGGCACAGCTCTGACCTCAGGATGTCACCAGCTGATAGGTGAGTGATGAGGCTGACCACGATGCTGGGCTGTAGAGGGGGTGAGGAACACAAGAGTGTCCCACCCATCTTATCACCAGCCACCAGTGTGCAGGCCTAATCTGAGTGGGATCCTGTTTGCAAAAGTCCCAGATGGCATAAGGCTAGCCAGCCATTCATCTCTCTCTTGGCTTTTGTTCAGCTTCTCCCAGTCCGCGTTCAGTCTACTTCCATATCCTTTCCTCTGGAGTGCACGGTTCCTGGTTTGTCATCTGTACCTGTTTCATTTGGTCTCGTGTATTTATGGTAGAGGGGTCTGCGTGTAGCATGTTTGCCTGGTTTGCCATCTTCCGGAAGTCGACCTCCTCTTGTGTGAAGAATGCTTGGGGCGGGGTGGGTGGCTTCACTATGTGCCTTGATGGTGTTGGGAAGGTTTGGGTGTGCAGTTCTGTGTGTGTTTGTAGTGGAAACTGTGTGTCTTTTGTTTGCTCTGCTGCCAGACTAGACGTCAGTATGTTTTTCTTTGAGTCTTTTGAAGATTTCTGGTGCTGCCTTATTGGAAAGATGAAAGGAATCGCGCATTTGATGAGATGGATGTTGCCGCTTATCCTTCCTCACCTCACCGTTACTGTGGGGCCATTAGAGCATCTCTCAGGGCATCTGGCTGGCAGCTCCTCCCGGGCTCTAGCTTTGAAGGGCCGCACATAGGACCATAGAGCAGTTGCTTTGGAAACACTATACCCTCAACTGTCTTGTTCTTTTCCTTTAGGCTTTCCTGAAATAGATCGTTATTGTGGGGAAACAAGATGGGGTGGGGGTGGGAGTGGGGGGAACACTTAAAAGACCTGACAATCGATTCTTAAATTTCAGTTTTTAAATGGCTTTGCTTGCCAAGAGAGTTTGAAAGAGACATTTACTATTACCAGCCTGCTGCTCCCTGTTTAACAGACGTGTAGAGAAGTGGCCGTGGCAGCACAGTAGGCTAATCACAAGGTTGGCAGTTTGAACCCGGCAGCCGTTCCATACAAGAAGAGTTCGCCTTGGGAACCCCGAGGAGCAGTTCAGCTATAGCTTGTAGGCCGCTATGAGCCAGAATCACTGACAGCAGGGGGCAGGGTCATATGGAGAGGTTGAAATGTCCCGTGCGGTTTGTCCATATAAGAAAAGCGCCCTGCCCATTTTCTGAAATGTTATCTCACACTCGGTTTCTTTACAACTGCGATTCCTTGATTGGTGGTGGTGGTGGTGTGGGGGGGTTTCCCTTCTCTCTGAGAGTGGACCCCACGACTTACTCACCCCCCTACCCCCCTATTTATCTGCCACTGCCCGGGGAAATGATTTACAGCAGGGAGGATGGTGAGAAGAATGCAAACCAGACCCCATCCGCTCTTCCCAGGGGAGAGACCAGCGATGGCTTCCAGGAGAGAGGAAGGCAGGCCGGGGTCTGATCTGACCCGGGGAGCGGCTGCAGCTGCTGGAGCCAGGAGCAGGTCACCGTACAAACTCTCAGCTGACCCAGACTGAAGCTCGGAAGCAGGAGGTGGGCCGGAGGCCTCTCTTTCGATGAAGTAGAGGAGGTGCTACCTGGGGCTGCCCTGTGCACTGCAGCCACAGCCCTCAGGTCTCGTCATCGTTGTCATGGGGCCTTCTAAGGGTTAAAATCTGAAATCTTGAACATTGGCTTAGAATCGTAGCAGAGCCATCCAGTTCCTACATTGTGCCAGGAACTGGGCTACCCCACTGAATGCTCCCCCACCAAGCTGGGTCCAGTATTCCCTCCCCTTGTGCCAGGGGGCGTTGGAACGCACCAGACAGGATGGCCCACATGCAGTCTGAGCTGCTTGACCGTGTTCTCCTCCTCAGCCACCAGCACCCCTGTGCGGCACAGCGCACGTTCCTCGCCGAGTGTGTGGAAGCAGCAGACGAGACAGCGCCCCCCGGGGAACTCACTGAGAGAAAGGACTGCCAGCTCACAAGGGCAGGGCCTGGGGTTCAGGGAAAATGCCAGGCATACCTGTTTCAGGTTGGGCCGAGGACAAGCTGTGTCTTTGTGCTTTGTGCTAAATTCAAGTGTACAGAACCTGCCCTTAGGACTACGCTAAGAGCACCTCTTTCAGCTGTGATGCAAGGGTGCCCTGGTGGTTAAGAGAAAAAGAAACACTTCAGGAAGGTGGGGTTATCTTAATGGGCATCCCTATGCTACGAACATGAAATATCTGAAATGCTCAACCACATGCGCTGACT